CCTGCTGAAGGGAAAATATGTCTTGGGAGCTGTCTGGTATATTTTCAGATTTCAAGATGAGTGTAAACCGCCAGAGAATGGTAGTTTGCTTGGTCTCTCTGCCTTGGGAGCCTGTTGCCAGAGGTGCCGAACTTCTGTTTGTGTTGGGAGGACAGTGATCCTGCCTCACTGGAGTGAGCTCGGTACGAAACCTTCGTTCCTCGTCTTCAGGAGGCACTGGGTGGCAGTAGCTGACAATGAGTGCAGAGAACGTCCCTGGAACAGACTGCTCCTGGCCAAAGGACACGGTTTTGTTCTATGTGCTGTGAATCACTGATTTCAAATACAAAATCCCACTGCGTTTTGTTCTGTTTTGTTTTGCAGATTGGCAGCAGAGCTGTGCTTATAACAGGTTGCGACTCAGGGTTTGGGTTTACCTTGGCCAAGCACCTGCATACCAAAGGCTTCATTGTTTACGCTGGCTGCCTGCAAAAGGTAGGGAAAACGAAAACTGTATTCTTCACCCGTGGCACGTGCACAGATGCATAGCAAATCCAGTCTTCCCTCTCCGCTCTGCACAGCTTTCGGCCAAGGAGAGGGAGGATGGTTGGTAGCCCAAAGGGAAAGACACAGGTGCTTGAATTTCATAGAGCATAACCTGTTCTAGACCAGAAGCAGGACTGAATGGTATCTAGGGAGGTTCTTATTTGAATCACGGCATTGTGGTCTGTTCCATATCTGGTGGTCTGGAAAACCAAATCTAATTTTATAGGCTTATTCGTAACCAAATTTTGGGATCAGGCTGAGGCTGGATCTTTGGCCCTGCTCTCAGACTATACATATTTACACAGGGTTTATTTTGATTAATTGTGACATACAGCAAGCCACCAGTGATTTTATGGCATGTGTTACGAGCATATTTTAGTATAGTCATGGGTACAGCCATGCCTCAGTGTGTATTGAGGGTTTTCTGAAATCGCTCTGAATGCGATAGAGTTCCACAAGTGCAGACGAGAGCAGAATCAGGCCACACATAGCTTAGTGACACAGTCCTGATCCGCTCTCCAGGAGTGCTGTGTATGGCAATCGGAGATGCCTGGTCATGGAGAGTAGGAGAGAGCTTTAGCCTCTCTCTCTCTCTCCTTATGAAGCACTGCACTTTTTTAGCTGTATGGCCATTTCCCAAGAGAAACAAACGTACTCCTCAGGATATCCTGCCGTGGGTCAGTTATTTTGATCCTAATCTTTTAGCTCTCTCATCACTATAAATGTATCTTGAATAGTTATATTATTTAAGGAGAATTTGCCAGATGTTTTTAATGTTATCAATACTCTTTCTGCTGTTAATTTTCCCATTAGTACTAAGTTTTGCTTAAATTGGTAGTTTCTTTCTGCTGCATTTTTTCGAAAGAGAAGTTTTGTTTCGATAGCCGCTGTCGCTTGTGGAGTCTCAGCTCTGGGTCCACGGTTTATTTGTGAGCCTGGGCTCCCTCTACAGGCTTCACAGCAGAACAGGACACGCCTTACAAACCGCTGCTTTTCAGGAGGTGTCAAGAAGAGAGAGGGTAGTTGAGTACTTTTTTGGCAGATGTTTCTACTCAGGTTTTGTTACTGAAGATTAACATTAGAGAATATAAGAACGTTGCAGACTTAAAAAACACTATTTAGAATAATAGCCTGCCTCTGTGTTGACAGGAGACAAAAATTTCAGAGCTGCAAAGTTACTTCTGGGTTTCGCTTCCTCTGTCTGAGCTGCCAGAAAGACCCGATTTTCAGTGAGCGTGTCTTTAACTGTCACTGAAACCTCCCTTCCATTTTGATGTCTTCAGCACTCATGTTACTGAATGCATGTTAGTGGCAAATCTCGGCCTCTGACGTCAAATTTTAGCATAAGCTGACATGTAGCAGCATGCCAGAACTCTTTTAGGCTTTGATCAGCATCTGTTTCCTTGCCAAAAATCAGCAGAAAGCTTTGCTGCATCTCTGTGTAATTACATATTTCTTCTTTAGCTGGACTTACATCCCATGTTCCAAAATCTGTGTGACTTTGGCAAGACTGGTGACAGCAGTTGTCATCAGAATAACACTGTAAAATGCCAAAGCTCCTTAGTTAAGAGGTTGGCCTGCTATGTGCCACATGCTTTATGCAGAACGGCTCTGTAGAACTGAAAGAACTCCAGCTGGTTTCTCATTGTGCCACAGGTTTTGCTAGCAAAACCGTAAGCAGAATTCTGATCAGAGTGTAATTATTGTTGGTGCTGATTTTAGGGGCAGAAAAAAAAGCCGGGTGTGTTTTTACATGCTAAATAGAAGTGGAGGTAGAAATAAGAAGCATCATCTTTTGCTTGGGTGTATTTGACCTAGCCCTGACAGAGAGGAAATGACTGTGAAACTTCAGTGTTATTTTCATGAGACTGTTTTTCACAGCACACCTGCACATCGGAAGCATGCTCCAGCTTGGGGAGCCTTCGTGTCCTCAGGGTATGCGCTGTTCTTGGGAACGTCGTGCAGATTGAAAGTGTGTGCAGTGCTGTCTCTTCATGAGGAAAGGTTTCCGAGAGTGGCCAGATCCTGAGCGCCTGACTGTATTTTTACTGACGGAAACCTGAGAGAGGTGTTTAGAGTCACAAATGGGGGGGCCCAAGGATGGATCTGTGCTAACAGCGTGCTGTTTCACACGCGATTTCTTCCTAACGTTTTCACTGGCAAATACATTCATGTGAGAGTTGTGCTGGTGCTTTGTTGCCAAAAGACAGTGGTAGACTGGATCCAATGAACGATCACACTGCAGCTGTCTTATTTTTTCCTCTTCGGTTAATAGCTGGAGGAGCCAGCTGACACAAGATGAAGAAGGTATTTTTTCCGTCAGTATCTGTTACCAGTGGACAAATGTGATGTTTGTCACGGCTGTCAGGAGTGTGGTGGAACCCCTGTTTGCTTTGCTTGGCGTGCTCAGGGCTGTTGGGCCTTGCAGGGGGATGAGCAGGCAGAGGTTATCTGAGCAAGCCAGCATGCAGGCCAGTTACTGTAGGGCTCAACAAGAGCTTTCAGAGCCCCAGGGCGTTACATACTACTTCAAGAACACACTGATAAAGGTACAAGCTGAAGCCCAGGGGCCCAAGAGGGTGACCATGGAAGGAGGAAGATGAGGCAGCGGTGTGCTTTTTCAGTATGCAAGAGCTGAGTCCTCTTGCCATGGGGACAGTGGACGCTGGGGCTGACAGCAGAGATGTACTGGTGTCTTGGCGTAGCATGAGAAGGTCCTTCCAGCTGCGTATGGGAACGGGGGTTGTAGGACAGGCTGCTTCCCATGCCAGGAGAGCATGACACTGTCACAGGGTGCCTGGCTGAAACACCACGCATCTGCCCTTTCTGAAGAGCCGAGGGAATGACCCTGGGGGTCTGGATTAATGCCCAGGATGCCAGCCCCAAGGGTCCCTGTCCAAGCACCCAGCTGCATGGGGGTAGGAGGGCAGGAGGGATGTGGGCTTGCTGAACCAACCCTGTAAGAGAGGAAGACGAGGAAGCTGTGGAGGTCCCGGTAGAGCTTACAAGACTTCTGAGGCTGGGGAGTTGCTGTGGCCCAGAGATTTTGTAGCACCTCACAGAACTGGGATCAGGGAAAGAAGCACATTGGCCATATTGTTCTTCCTCTTCCCTGTAGTGATATCTGCGGTTTCCAAGGGACTTGCATGCTTGCATTTGCTGATTCCCTGCTGGCATTCCCACATATGACACTTAAGTGCTTTCCAGTGCTTTGCTGTGCACACTGGCTTTGGCACCACAGTACTTTTGAGTGAGCAGCAAACTTAGCACGAAACTCTGTTATCAGTCACCGTAAAAACAAACGCTACTAAGCTGCGCATGGGACTTTTGACTACTCCATTTTGTGTGCAGTATGCTTCTGTGTGAAGAGACTGCAGTCAATGCCTTCTCTTAAGGACAAACACTAACCGCTATTAACAGCCTGTGGTGGAGTAAGGAAGGGTGGAGAAGAAGACAGAGGAGATGTCAGGTACTGAAGTTAGTGAATGGTCTGTGAGCACAGTGTATAAGCCCAGGAAAGAGGGGGCCAGACGAAGAGTTTTTGGAAGACAGGTGTCACAGAAACAGGGCACGTAGGGCCACCCTCGTGTGGTATCTAAACTGTGGTGTCCGAAGGGAACTCTCGCTTGGGGGGGGCAAATGAGCAGCCTGGGCTCAGACTGCAGAGATGAGCAGCATCTCATTGACAGCTGACTGCTGTCAGTCTCTGACAGGGAGTGCCTGTGGCTCGGGGTGTTTAGAACAATCTAATGTCATTCAGCAGTCAGGAAACAGCCCCGCTGTGAAGAACTGGCCTGTTCTATCTGTGCAAAAAAGCCTCATCTATCAGGAGTGAAGAGCACTCTGATGCTTGCTGCTGATGATGACACGGCGAGCAGGGCTACTTGGAGAGTTGGGTGGTGGAGGAAGAAGAGCTGAGCAGCCATCAGATGATCCTGTGGGACACTCTCCATGTCTAGCCTGTTAATGGGGAGTAAAAGACTCCTAGTGAAGGATGATATTGAGGGTACAGAGGGAGTTTCTTACAGTAAAGACAGGGATGTTCCCAAAAAGTGATTATTTTCAGGGCTAGACCTCACCATCCTCTACAAAAGTATCCTGGAGTGGCCAGCACAGTCCAGTAGCTTATAACCGTGGCAGCAATTCAGGGACAGTCCCAAACTCATGTTAACATCCCATGTCTGTCTCCTGGAAGCATGGTAGCCAGGCTTCACACTGTGAAGGGACTAGCTCTGGGCGCACCTGTGGGAACGGTGTCTCAGGGGTGGCTGCAGGTACATGGCTGGGCTGTGAGTGGATATGTGTATACTGGGGGAATCTGTTGTTCTGGGCTGAGAAAAAAGGAGTGGAGATGGGAAATGGGAGAGAGAAAAAGCTCATGGGGGGAGGCCAAGAAGAGAACAAGATGCTGGAAAAGATGCCAGGGGGCAATTTCTGATGCGCAGGCTGGCCAGGCAGCTGATGATCGGGCTGTGTAGGAGTCCATTGGAGGCGGTGGGTAGGTTTCCAGGCGGTGGGAGCTGTGTGCGTAGATCAGCCAAAGGGAGAGAGCAGCGGGCAGACAGTCCCTCTGCTAGAACTGTCACTTCCAGAGCTGGCAGTGTGACTGAGAAGCACACGCACGTGTGCAGCCACTAACCGGCTATTTTATACCATACCCCCCACCAAGCTGTTTGCTGTGCCCTGTATGTAAGCCAAAGTGAGGGTGGCACCACAGTCCCGCTGCCGCAGTAGCGTGGCACAGCTTGATCTCAGGAGCTTGTACTTGGCAGAAGTTGCCTTTTGCTGGGGTGGATCCAGTTCTGGCTGCTTTCTCTGTGGTCGAAGCAGTTTGTACCAGCTGACTCCGTGGCAGGGCTCGTGGTCAGATGGAGGTGCTCAAGGAATGGTGTTCTGCTGAAGGAGCAGCCCTGTCTGTTCCCCTTCCTCTTAGAGCTGTGGGACTGTCTTGATTATTCTGTGACTGCCCTGTGCACTCTCTTTTGCTCGATATAATGGTTGCTATGCATTTGAACTTCTACACAAGCTCTTTGGCCAGATTCAAACTAGCACTCTCTTCCCTTCTAGGACAAGGGAGATGGTGGCTCCAAGGATCTGGACAACATGAACAGCGATCGAATGCGAACCGTCCAGCTCAATGTCTGTGACAGCAAGGAAGTGGACCGAGCAGTGGAGCACGTGAATAACAGCCTGGAGGACCCAGAGAAAGGTAGGTGCATGCAATGGGCTCCGAGGTCACATAGGTGGCAGGAGCTCCCTCAGCTGGGCCCTGAGAGCATTTTCAGGGCTTATTTCAAAAGTTGAGCACATGGTTGAAGGGCACAAAGCTTTGAGGAGCAGCAGTGCAGAGGAAATGGCCTGTTTGAATGTTGTGTTATATCAGAAAGCAGCTTCCCACTTAAGACAGCAAATACAAAGAAAACTGCTTTTTTCTCCACTAGCTCCTATAGGGACGATAGCAGAAATCAGGGTGGTGTTCAAGGCCCTGGGATTAGTGCTTTATTCCTGTGACCTGAAGTTTATTGTGACTCCCTTTATGTTGTAAAACCTGACCAGTGCCCAAAGATTAGGGATTAGCAACAGAAATGTCTCCCCCTAACTTTCAAAAGGCAAAGGAAATGGAGGGGTTTTCCAAAGGATTTCCCGTGAAGCCAGCTGAATATCATTCATGCCATTGCAGATACTACCATATACTACAGATTTCAGAGTTCAGGGGGTAGCTCTAACTGACTTTTTTGGCCTGCCTACCTCATTCTGCTGAGGTGATGACAGCAAATTCTGCTCCAGTACTGATCCCAGTTGTTCATGCCTTCCTGAAACCTTTCCACCTGTTGGTGAACTACATTCCCCCCCTAAAGAACATCAGCACTTCAACCCATGAAGGTGGTTTAAAAGCAAAACAACCAGTAATGTTTTATTTTGGATTTTGCGTAAACCTATTTCTTTTACTTTTCTTTATGTTTTATTTTTATATATGGATCTTCTATATAAATTAAGTTTTCTAGCCCTGTATCCTCAATCATAGGCCAGGATGAAGTTGCCTTTTCTGTGCTGCTTCTGAGAACACAGATCTGGACAGTCAGTCAACAGATAACTGAGTTTTTCAAAACGGCAGAGAGAAGCCATCCCAGACCTTTCTCAGTCTGTTTCCTGTGCAATTAGAATATTTATGAAATGAGTTTGGTTTATTCCAAATTCCTTTTAAATCTTTCTTTTCAATGCCAATTGAGTTGGTAGCTTCAGTTGTTGCCATCTTGGTTGTCAGCAGAGTAAAAGAGAGGGGCAATGGCATGCGTGCCCACCCATGTCCACCCATGCCCATGTCCCCTTTCCCAGCATTGCAGACATTCTAGTTCTTACGGTGACAAAAGGGATTTTACTTTGAAAGAATTACTCTTTTGTTTCTTACAAGGTCTTTCCTGTTCTTATTATTTGCATTTAGAGACTATATTTTGCTTCTTTTAAAAAATCATGACAGATACAAAGAGAATGGCAAGGAGAACAGCTTAGACAAGGCTGAAGTTCTCTGTTTGCTGGCTCAGAACTTCCTGGGAAGCCTTATTCACAGTACTTTGTGGCTGCAGTGTTGGACAATACAGGCTGATCCTGATTGTCCTGATTTTGTCTTCCAGGGCTCTGGGGGTTGGTTAACAATGCTGGGATCTCCACATTTGGGGAAGTGGAGTTCACAAGCATGGACACCTACATGGAAGTAGCTGAAGTGAACCTGTGGGGGACTGTGCGAACCACCAAGGCTTTCCTCCCGCTCATCCGGAGGTCAAAGGGTGAGTGATCTCCTCCTGACTGGCTCTCCCTGGAGCAGGTCCCCTATCCTGCCCATGTCTCGCTGTGTTAGAGGCCAAGGGGTCTATTAAGCTTCTGTCTGCACCATTGGCCACGTTCATACCTTTACAGACAGAATGTGACCCACAGCATACGCACAGATGACAGATTTCCCCATCACTCTGAGTTACACAGCAAGGCAGCAGTCCTGAAAACCTCTGTCCTGTCTGTGCTGCCTTCTCCTGCAACATCCGACGCAAGATGTAATCCATCACACCTTCTTTTACCTGCTCAGAAGCAGCAGCTCACTGTAAATTCCAGTGCCAGGAGCAATCCTGCCCTCTATACAGAAAGCAGCTGTGCTGGTGCTGGGCAGGGTGGGCAGCAGCAGTGTGCTACGACATGCGTCTTGCAGGGGAGCTGTCAGCTGTGCGCTGTGTTGCTTTGGGAGAGTTTGACTTATGAGAGGTGGGGTTTGTACAGGAAAGGAACGCAGACCTGGAGCTTGCATGGGTCTCGACATACAGGGGCAAAAGCTTTCCTGTACTGGAGCCAACTACCTGACTAAATGAGAATATTTTTCACTCTTGAGGCATCCACAGACATTACCAATGTTGGTTTCGTAGTCCTGTGCTGCAGACCTGGGTTATATGTGGCCCAGGGAGCATTTCTTGCACCATGGAAAGGTATCCACTGCTGTGATCAACGTTTCTGTTTTTAGCCCGACTCAGCAATGAGCACTGATTGAAAGTGCAGAGAACTGCAACCTGTGATCAGACTGCAGCGTCCAGTCTCCTACTGGCAGTCTCCCCAGCCAAAATGGATGGCTTCTGGAGGGGAGAAGGGCCCCAGCTCTGTGCCTGGAGCCGTAATCCAGCTGTCACACAGAAGAGGGTGCAGTAGACTTAGACTGCTCTGCCTGCTTGTGGTGCAGGAGCAGTCCATTCCCTTTGAAGAGGCAGACACTGGAAGCCACCATTTGGCTTCTAGATTTTGTGCCTTTGACTTGCAAATAAACAAGCTTAGCCTCAGTGCCGGAGGCTGTCTCTTCTGCAGCCTCCTCTTGTCTGGGCTCAGCACTGACCACTGCTGAGCAATCCTGTTTCCCATCATGCAGGCTCTGTTCAGCCTCTTTTGTGCTCCCTGCAGCACTCAGCTTTGTGTGTCGCCACGTGTCTGTGTGCTCAGGTGTGACGAGCCAGGGAGCACAAGCAATGGGCTTGTTCTCCTGCCTGAAGGCCATTGCGTAGGACAGCACTGCTTAGATAGAGCCACCAGCAGGTCTGCTGGGCAGCCCTTACGGATAGGCGGTGGGCGGGTGGGATCTGCTGGGTGGTGTGGGGGGGCGTCTGCGCCGGATTGGGCACCACGGCTCAGCTGCACTTTGCCTGGCCTCTGCCTAGGTCGCGTGGTGAACATCAGTAGCATGATGGGTCGGATGGGCAGTCCTGCCCGGTCACCGTACTGCATCACCAAGTTTGGCGTGGAAGCCTTCTCCGACTGCCTGCGGTACGAAATGCAGCCCCAGGGAGTGACGGTCAGCATCGTGGAGCCTGGCAACTTCATAGCTGCCACCAACCTGTACAGCCCTGAGCGAATCAAAGCCATAGCCGACAAGATGTGGGAAGAGCTCCCTGAGATAGTGCGCAACGACTATGGCAGGGAGTACTTCGACGAGCAGGTCAGCAAGATGAAGACGTACTGCAACAGCGGCTCGACAGACTCCTCGCCGGTCATCGAAAGCGTCGCCCACGCGCTCACCGCCACGGCCCCCTACACCCGCTACCACCCCATGGATTACTACTGGTGGCTGCGCATGCAGATCATGACGCACATGCCTGCTGCCATTTCGGATCGGCTCTATGTCTACTGAGGCCTCGCGCTCCTAGGCTACCCAGGTGGGAAATTGGTTCTAAACAGAGCATTGTACACACTTTCCATTAGTCCTTTTTAAATTTTTCTAACCTCATTTCAGAGTACTGTATTTTAGCTCTAGAGGGTTCATTTAAACATCT